AGCTGGATGAGCGCGGAAGCGAGGTACTGATCAAGGACAGAGTCCTTAGGATCAGGGATCGGGAGCAGCGACTTCTCGCCAAGGTGAAGAGGTCCCTGAACCGGTTGTACCTGCTCGACCTGAAGGTAGAGCAGCCGGTGTACCTGGCGGCAAGGCACTCCGAGGAACCGTGGATGTGGCATGCCCGATTCGGACATCTCAGCTTCGACGTGCTTGGTCGGCTGGAGAAGATGGTCCGAGGGCTACCCCACATCAAGCATGGAGGCGAGCTATGTGACAGCTGCCTGGCCGGGAAGCAGAGGAGGCTACCATTTCCAAAGGCGGCCAAGTATCGCGCGAAGGACGCTCTCGAGCTCGTCCACGGTGACCTCTGCGGGCCGATCACGCCTGCTACAAACGGTGGTCGGCGGTACTTCCTCTTGCTCGTGGATGATTGCAGTCGCTACATGTGGCTGCAACTTCTGACGTACAAGGACGAAGCGGCGGCGGCGGCGATCAAGAAGTTCAAGATGCGCGTGGAGGCCGAGAGCGGCAAGAAGCGCCGTGTGCTGAGGACTGATCGCGGTGGCGAATTCACTTCGGTGGAGTTCGCTGTGTACTGCGCGGATCAAGGTGTGGGGCGACACCACACCGCGCCGTACTCGCCACAACAGAATGGCGTGGTGGAGAGGCGGAACCAGATGGTGGTTGGCATGGCCCGATCCATGATGAAGGCCAAAGGCATGCCGGTAAGGTTCTGGGGTGAGGCGGTGACCACGGCGGTGTTCATCCTCAACCGCTCTCCGACCAAGGCCCTGACGGGCAAGACACCGTTCGAAGCTTGGCATGGGCGAAAGCCAAGCGTCTCCTTCCTCCGGACACTCGGCTGCATCGGTCACGTCAGGATGATGAAGCCGAATCTCACTAAGCTGGAGGACAGGAGCACACCCATGGTGTTCCAAGGCTACGCGGAGGGTACCAAGGCGTACCGACTCTACGACCCACGCGGAGACAAGGTACTTATCTCGCGCGACGTCATGTTCGACGAGAAGGCGGCTTGGGACTGGAGCATTCCGAGCACGGGGGAAGCTGGTAGCTTCACCAACACCTTCGTCGTCGAGCACCTGGTCATCCACGGTGGTGGAGACGCTGGGGAAGAGGTGCCGAGCACTCCAGCGGTAGAGCCGAGCACTCCTGGGGCAGTGCCGAGCACTTTTGGGAGGGATGCCGAGCACTCAGGGAAGAGTGTCGAGCACTTCTGGAGGGATGACGAGCACGCCAGGAGTGGTGCCGGGAGGTTCTGCAGTGGTGGCGACCACTATAAGACGGGTGCCGAGCACTCCCGTGGCGAAGCCAAGACGTCTTGCAGTGGTGCCAACCACTCCAAGACTGAGGCTGAGCACTCCTGCAGTCGTGCCGAGCACTGCAGGAGTTATGACAAGCTATCCAAAAGTAGTGCCGAACACTGCAACCAGGGTGCCGAGCACTCAAGATGTTGTGCCAAGCACTCCGGCGAAACAGGGAACTCCATCGACGCCGATCGAGTTCGCCTCACCTCCAAGTGACATCACTAAGTTCATGGACGCCTACCACGAAGGTGAGGAGGTGCAGTTCAGCAGGTTGGACGACATCGATGGCGACACAGGGCCCTCAGGCCTGGCTGGTCGGCTGCTCAATGACGCAGAGCTGCTACTCGCCAGTGCTAAGGAACCACCCACGTTCGCGCTGGCCGAGCGCGATGGAAACTAGCGACGGGCGATGTTGGAGGAGATGAAGGCGATCGAGGAAAACGAGACTTGGCAGCTCGCCGATTCACCTCCAGGATGTCGTCCGATCAGCCTGAAGTGGGTGTACAAGGTCAAACGGGACGAGCTCGGCGCCATTATCAAGCACAAGGCGCGCCTCGTTGTCCGGGGCTTTGTTCAGCGCGAGGGCATAGACTTCGAGGAGGTCTTTGCGCCAGTAGCGCATATGGAGTCGGTCCGTTTGCTACTAGCCTTGGCAGCAGCAAAGGACTGGCGCGTCCATCACTTGGACGTTAAATCAGCCTTCCTCAACGGCGAGCTGGCGGAGACGGTCTTTGTCAGGCAACCTCCAGGTTTCGCCGTCAAGGGAGAGGAGCACAGGGTGCTCTGACTGCGCAAGGCGCTCTACAGGCTGCGGCAGGCCCCACGAGCATGGAACGCCAAGCTTGACGCCACGCTGGGCGAGCTTGGGTTTCAGCGATGCGCAACCGAGCACGCACTCTACACGCGGCGATGGGGGAAGGAGGAGCTCGTCGTCGGCGTGTATGTGGATGACTTGATCGTCACCGGCGCGCGCACGGAGGACATCAACGGCTTCAAGCGCGAGATGACGGCTCGTTTTCGAATGAGCGATCTCGGCGCACTCTCCTACTACCTTGGCATCGAGGTGAGACAGGGGAAGGAGGAACTCACGCTCGGTCAGAGCGCGTATGCCTCCAAGTTGTTGGAGAGAAGCGGCATGGCTGAGTGCAAGCCATGCGTGACTCCGATGGAGGAGCGGCTAAAGCTGACGAAGGCCAGCACCGCGGCGAAGGTGGATGCAACACTCTACCGGAGCATCGTCGGCGGTATGCGCTACCTAGTCCACACGAGGCCGGACATTGCGTTCGCCGTGGGCTACGTCAGTCGCTTCATGGAGGATCACTGGGCTGCGGTGAAGCGGCTACTGCGCTACGTCAAGAGAATGGTGGATCAAGGGATCATTTTTCCCAAGATCGGCGGGAGTAGACTGCAGCTCACTGTGTTCAGCGATGCAGACATGGCGGGGGACATCGACGGACGATGGAGCACCTCTGGCGTGCTCGTCTTCCTCGGGTCGGCCCCAATTTCATGGTTGTTGCTGAAACAGAAGGTGGTGGCGCTATCTACGTGCGAGGCAGAGTACGTAGCGGCGGCCACAGCGGCGTGTCAAGTTGTGTGGTTGCGCCGGCTACTGGGCGAGCTGACCAGCGTGGAAGCTTACCCACCAGCACTGATGGTGGACAACCAGCCCACCATCACCCTCGCGAAGAATCTAGTTCTACACGACCGGAGTAAACACATTGACGTGAAGTTTCACTTTCTCAGGGACTGTGTCGATGGAGGGCAGATCGTCATTGAGTTCGTCGAAACTGGTCGACAACTCGCGGACGTCCTCACCAAGCCGCTCGGACGTCTTCGACTCATGGAGCTGAAGGAGATGATCGGCATGGATGGGGTACAAGGGTTAGCAGTAGGATTAGAGGAAGATTGTTAGATAATCTATTGCTACCTTGTGTGAACACAGCAAGGGAAGGCGGCGCCGAAAAGGCCCCCTGCTGTGATATTGTAGCCGCTGCAGGTGCAGGCGCCGCACGGCTCACCTGCAGCACTGTAGGCACATGCAGAGGCCGACGCAGAGTCAGCCCTGTATGTTATCTAGTCACTGTTGCAGCAGGGCAGCTGTACTGAGACTAGATGGATAGAGTTGTATAAATATACTACCACGGCAACTCAGTAAAGAGAGTTCAGATTTGCCATCTCCCAGACAGAGCTTCGGCAAACGCTGGTGTCTTGTACTGTGTGTATATGCTCTGTTCTCCCTTCTTCAAGCTCTAGCCATAGTGCGTGGGGATGGACAACGCTTATTCGTGGTCGGCACGGCTAGTGGGTGCTCGGCAACACTAGCGGGTGCTCGGCAAGACTGGTGAGTGGTTCACTCACCTGAGCCAGTGATCCTGTGGGCCAACAATGCTTCCATAACCAAAATCATTGACACCTGTCACCTTACATCTGTATTACATTCCTACTCTGTTCAGCCGATACAGCATGCCCTAATTCCTTCTAAAAGAGCAAGAAGAAACACTCAGCAGATTAGGTAACAATTTCCCCAACTGGTTACAAGCCTCCATTAACCAGGTGCCCTGCAATGCTGTGCACTGAATGGATCCTTAGCAAACCAAATCATGCTTGTCAATGCCATTTGATTGCTCATGTTATTACTTGGGAATAATATGATACATGTCTAAGCTTCTATCTTCTCATAGAAAAGAAGGAAAGCCTTGCACTTAAGAACTTCGTCTAGGGAGACGATATCTAGCATTATCTTTGTCCCTGGACCTGAAGGTTTGCAAAATAATAGTTCAAAAGGTCACGCAAACGAAATGTTAGATTAGCTATCAACATCACTAACAAGAAAATACTATCAGATTAACAGTTTTGACATATATCAAGTGACTAGCTGATTCCAAAACATAAAACAGAATTAGTGTGGCACAGTACAATTGTATTAATAGTCAGTTCATTTCATTTTTATGCGCACAAAAAGGGAAAATAAAATCCTTAGCTGTTCCATTTTGTGGAAAGGGATCACATAGCCATTGGCACATGTCGCATATCGCCTCTGTGAGACCCAACACCAGTCAGGCAGTCACCACAATTCAATTAGACTTCCCAATCAGAGTGCAATTGAAGTACCAGATGCTGCCAATTGTCCTATATTTTACAGTCAGATACTAAAAAAGCATGTAACTAAACTATTATAGATATAGAAACCTTTGTTCTGTACCTTTTTAAAAAAAAACAGACCTTTTTCAACAGTAGTGCTATTTTTGTGCATATATTACAGAGGTCACACTTGGGTCACCAGGAGTGACACACAGAAAACAAAAGAAACCCAAGTAACACGAGACAAAGTGAACTCAAAAATATTTATTTCTAGCACTCCAAGACAGACAATGGCAACTGGAAATTCTTTTAGAGACATAAAAAACCATATCTTATTCAATCTTTCCTAAAGATACTGATCTATGAAATAAAAAGTAGCTAATGCAAATGAGAAACTTCGAACTGCACAAAAGTAATAGCTATTGCAGTTAATAACTTCAAACTTGGGTCTTCTCTCACTAGGTTTGCAGTATTTTCCAGCTCACTTGTGCTCTGTCCTGATTTAGTGCACTGGTATTTTTGTTATCACGGCACTCAACAGGCTGCTCTTTTCCTCCACTTTTCTGTGATGGTCACGTTCAGCTCGGGCCATCAAGTGTCCTCTACCTTTGCTTTAGCAGGTGGGGCAAGAGAAAGCAAGATCTTTTCAGCACGCTGGTCCTTCCCATTGATCCTTTCATCACAAAGCCTGTTTATCACAAATAACACAAAATACAGAAAGTAATAAACGAGGAAAAGACATACTAGAACAATAAGTAATAAATTTGTATCCACTGGAGTGCTCCCACAATGCAACTACTGAAGTATGAACACATTGTGGATTCATTGTTTTATAAAAGACAGATTGAGCACAGACTTGAAAAAACATACCATTTAATAGCTAATAAGAAGCACCTGAAGCATCTTCCAATTTCTAGTGGTGCCTAAACAAATTGAAAACAGATTGTCTAGCACAAGCAAAGAAATCTGCACCAAATCATATGGACCACAGAAAACTATATTATATATGGAACCTAAAATCCAGATGTTTTCTGTTTGAAAACTTAGTATTTCAGATTTCAGATACTTATAGCTGCATAATTAAGCAATACGACATTAAAGATGCTGAATATAATCAAAGATAGGGCCAGGAATGTACCTTGAACAAGGAGAGCAACAACACCTGTAAGTAAGCAACTAAAACAGATACTTGAAGAATGGGTTAGAGAAGGCACCTGGGGCCAGCAAGAAAACACATACCGCACACACGGACCAAACCTAACACATGTCCATCTCCGGAGGGGGAGGTGGGAGCTGCTCCGCTGCTGCTGCCGGCGGCAGGTGCTGCTGGGGCGGATCGAACGTCACGTGGTACTCCCCATCCACGCGCATGTAGTAGCGGATGAACACGCACGTGATGAGCGTCGTGGAGGCGTAGCAGAGGGACTGCACGACGCGGCTGACGAGTGTCCAAATGCGGGCCTGCTCACCGTCTGTGTAGAAGGAGAGGAGATTGATGATGATGTTCAGATAGTGGATCACGACGCAAGCGACGAGGAGGTTCTCCTCGGTGCGGCCCATGCCACCGAACACGCAGTACACAGCGTACGGAAAAAGCTTCATCTTCATCGGAGGCCATGGCCGCTCCTCATCCTCCGCCACCGCGGGTGGGGCCGGAGGAGGAGGGCTCGGCATCGCAACAGGATCCGAAGGGGCGGCGATTCGAGAGGAGAGGGGATCGGGCGAGGAGGGAGGAGCACCTGCGGACATCGGGGGCCAGGAGGGAGGAGCACCAGCGGCCTTGCCGGAATCGATCGAGGGAGCCGCCAGGTCGAGATCGCGAAGCGCGCGCGCGGAGATGTGGTCGGGGATCGAGATCAGGATGCGGGAAGCGAAAACTCTTGGGATAGATTGCTCTGGAGCAAAATTCACCGCCGGTACTTTTTTTTCTCGAGTGATATCTGTTGTCTCTAAACTAACTATGATTCCAATCCTTAGACTTTCAAGTGACGGTCCCTAAACTTGTCGAGCGAGCCGGAAAGACGAGTCACAGAGGAAAAAAATTATAAAAATGACATTTGAAAGATGGACTCTGATGACACTTAGGTGGACGATGAGCAGGTCTATCTGTATCTATAAATGTAGATTCAGGTCTGTATTGAGTCTCATTTTCTCAAATCGCCCGTCGCAGAGTCGGTTTTGTGGCGTCGCGTATCTGTCACGCGCCAACCGGCTCTGTGTCCCGCGCCGCTCGCCAACTCCTCCGCTCCTCGCCCGCCGCGGCCGTGGCCACCTGCTCCCTCGCTCCCGGCCGCGCTGCTCCTCCGCGCCCGTGCCCCGCCGCCGCGTCTCTGCAGCCCCCGTCCGAAGGCACACATGATGGAGGAGCATAGCCTGCTGGGAGACGCCGGCTAGGACTCGGAACTGACAGAAGCCATCTCGCCCCGTTGCGCCACACCACATAGACATCAGAGGTCATGCCGCCGCCGCCGCCGGCCCGCCGCGTCCGCATGCTGCCGCTCAGCCCGTGCGTCCGCTTGCATCCTGGCTGAGGATTTGATGCCTAACCATTCGCTGCCCTTGTGGGATCCGGCGGAGATCCTTGCATCCTGCTCCAACGGTGGAGAACAGAGATGCACCAGCCTAATAACCCTTTTTTTTTTCGGTGCAACCTAATAACTTGGATGGATGGATAAGGATAAGGCCCGCTGTTGGCGTGAAAAGGACAAAGAATGCCACAATGCGACCATCTCTTTCATACGGGGCAGGGGCGATATCGGAATCAAAATTTTCAAGTGAACACGGGCATGAAACAGTGATGGCAACGAAGGAAACAAATTATCTCAATGAATGGCAGTTAAGGAAATAAAACCCACATATTTGACGGTGATGGCAGTTAAGGAATAAAAAGTTGCAAATTGATGGCAGTTAAGGAATTCTATATTTTTTTTATGGCAACCAAGGAACAGTATAAGTTTTAATGGCAATGAGCAAATTCTCTCATAAATCACCGTATGGCATATTGATGTTTTTTTTATAATTATTGCATATTGATGCCGAGAATAGCTGGATATATCGATTCCAAGCTCGTAAGAGTTGTTCTGCCAGCATCATGCAATTGTCTAATATATTTTTAAGATTTTTTTCACAATGCATGAAGTAAAATGACCTTTTAGACTTTAGAGTATACTAGGTATTTAATTTTGTGTGTTGTCACAAAAACTAAAGAAATGATTTCTCATAGATAAAAGTTGAAACATAGATATAGATTTTAGTGTGGCAGATGGCCTAGGGCCTCATGCGGTCAAGCGCGGGCTACCGGGAGCCTCGTGTCGGTGGCAGTGTAGCCATTTGATCGATGCAGTCTCAGCGGGTGAGCTACAAGCGAGCCATGGCGGCCTAGCAGGCCCACGCTGTGAACCTAGCACGGCAGGAAACCTAGAACCTCGCGCGTGCAAGTGGGTGACTGAGACCCTCGTGTCGAGCTAATCGTTATGGATCTACATGAACTTGGGATACACAACATCCTGAGAGCAAGGGTCGGCCAAGGTTTGCCCTCTTGAATCTGTATATAATATAGGATCTTTTTGGTTGGGCTTTTGAGGCTGTTTATTTTACATTACTTGCCTTCATTTAGATCAACTGGCCGAGGCCTCGTACATGATCAAATCACTAACACATGTTGGAGTTATATACCATCTCTCCGAGCGATTCGTGCTAGTGACTTGCTTAGCTAACAAATGAGCAACCTTATTACAATTTTCTACTACCATGTTAAAACAAAAAAAAACTTGAAAGTCAAGCCTAAGCTCATCAATCTCTTTCAGAACCGGATCAATGGATCTTTGTGTCTCCTTCCACAAATGGATTAGCTCCAAACTGTCGATCTCCAGAGAGACCTATTGCAACCACTGGTAGAGAACCGAGCTTTACTCCCGGTGGGAAACCCCCTCTAGTCCCGGTTCCCCACCCGGGAGCAAGCATCCGGGGCTAAAGGGGGTCCTTTAGTCCCGGGTCAGGAACCGGGACTAAAGGAGGACCTTTAGTCCCGGTGGGTAACACCAACCGGGACTAAAGGTGCCTCCTGACATGCCACGATGGTCGGCACCTTTAGTCCCGGTTGGTAATACGAACCGGGACTAAAGGTTTTTTTCTTTTTTCTTTTCTTTTCATTTTTTTGTTTTCTTTTCAAAATAGGTTTTCGAAGTCGTATTGCACGCTGCTAAGTATACATTTATACGCGCGTATAGTATGTTTCGGTTCAAGCACAATGAACGTATTAAATCACACAATTCAAGCATGCATCATATATATATTTACATGCATGCATGCATATGTGTATTTTACATTATATTATTTCATGTGCATATATTACAAAAGATTGCATTACAGTTGTTGTGACATAAAAAGTTTTCTCTCATCCTCTAGCTTGGCTTCAATGGCAGTGTTGGGTCGAAGTAGAACTCGCCCTTGGAATCGATGACCTGCTCATTAAAAAATCCGGCTATAGACTCTTGAATTGCTTTGATTTGGTCTTGCCGTATGACCTTTTCCTCCAACCATCGAGTCTATAGGTTTGAATTAAAGGAAAATAAATTAATATATGTACATATATATATATAAAGACATAGTAACACAATCAATAATAATAATTAAATAAATATATAGTGTATTTTTAACGTACTTTGAGTCTCTCTGTAGGAGTTCTTTGGGAGAGCACCTTGATAAACTTGCAAACATAGTAACCACAGTAGTTGTTCCCCTGTTCCTGCCTCAGACACCACTTTACGAGAAAAAGATTTGTCATCTAATCTGGTGATCCGGTGAAAGCTATATGTTTAATTAATAAAGATGATGCGATTCAGGGGACTTACTTTCAAAGGGATTACATTCAGTGGCGCTTTGCATTTTTCCATGTGTTGCTTCTCAATAAAGGTTTTCCAAACACTACCCAATAAAAAAATTGTCACGTCATCAGATATAGTTAATCATCATGTTTGTGTGTATATATAGTTGCTAGAGATCCCAAAATTACCTCTGGATAATATCTATCATATCGTGGTAGTCTTGTTGTGGTTTTCTCATCGAGTCATAGATTATCAAGTGACTTTTCACCAGATCGATGTCCATCAATATCCAGTGATTGCTGCATGTGTTTATAGGATATAACGCATAACACTCATTAATTAACTAGAATCAACATATGAGCCATTAAGGATGATCGACATGATTAACACTCACTTGAAGTTATAGGGAAAGAGTATATCCTTCTTGTGGCGTTGGTTCACTAAGAAGTTCATGAGGTTACTCTCTGACTCATTCTTTCAATTAGTCTTTGGAGTAATTGGGTCTTTGAATACTATATGGGGATCAACAAAACCAATTTCATTGCAGCCCTCCTTTCTGAGCCCTGTCATTGTAAATCTGCATATATATAGTACTTGTTAGGATAATTTATATGCATATACACACATATGATGAGTTTAATAATAGATCGAAAGAATTATTACTTACAGGCAATAGCAGCTAATGATAACTTTGTCCAGAGAGGTCAGCTGGCATAGTTGATGAAATTCTGCAAAGTCAACATACATAACATCATCGCCACGGAACCAATGTTCGTCTCTAATTCTGACACCAACACAGAAGTCTCCACTGGTAGACGCCTGCATGTATCACTTGTTTAGCAAGGTACATTTGCGTCCCCAGATCAGATAAGGCTTAAGGGTTGTATAGACTCTGGCCTAGTACAAATTTTTTCTTCCAAATATCAACCTCCGTCGCACTCTCAATGTTTCCATCACCAAACATCTAGTAAAGGTCGAGACCAGTCTCATCAAGAAATTCACCAAGGTGATCCAAATCGACATCCGAAGGTATGTTTGCCTGATGCATTAATCCTAAATTCGAACCATATTCATTACCAACAACTAGCGGGGATTGATTGGTGCGCTTGTTGTCCGAGTTGGGCAACTCCTTTCCCCGCCCGCTTCTTTTTTCTCATGCGCCTCAATTGACTTGGTGAGAGTGCGGTCATAGTCCAATAACGTTGATTTGGACGGCTTACGAGATTCCCATTGTTGTTCTTTGGTAAGAAGTCACCTTTTTCTTAGAATATCCGGAGCTACGAAGAAGTACGGTTTCTCCGGGTTTCTCCTTGCTTCTTGATTCATTTTAAGTTTGTCATAGAATCTAGACATGTCTTTTTATATGCATCAGTTCCTTCTTCCTTCTCTTGAGATATTATTTTGGGAATAGCCCTTGGTTTCACGGTGGCTTTCTTTGCGGTGAGGATTGGTTCTTCGTTTGAGGGGTTGGCCTCTTACTAGGCTTCTTGGTAGGCGGGCGGGGAGGCGTTGGAGACCTCCTTGGAGGTGTTGGCGTGGCGTTGGAGACCTCCTTGGAGGTGGCGGGCTGCGCGTTGAGACCTCCTTGGAGATGGTGTGGATACACCTCGTCTTCCAACACAATGTCATCGTCTGAGCACTATGATGATCTCAAGATTGAACAATTGGATTTAGGTTGGGGAGGATCTGCTACAAAAAAAGGAATGACATATTATTATGAGCAGATTGTTAATTATTTAAGCCAATACAAATTAATGATGTAGTGTTTTCATCCATGCGTACCTATGGTGAGGTAGTTCAGGGAGGAGGTGGAGCCGACATCCACGGAATGATGATGTAGCGCTTGCA